CTAATTTTCCTAGGATTAAATCATGGACCGGGACCATGATTCGAGATATTGACAATCTATTGGCCATTGACCTCAGGTTTAAATTCAATGCTTAATCGGAGTGCTTAACCGGAGTTCTTTGGCAAGGTATTGAGCGAGTCCTTTTACCCTTGTATCACCCTATCTCAATAAAAATAAGAGTGGGGCACGAGCATTAGTTTGGGATTAGGTTCGTTATCTCTCCTTCAAAATGAATAAGGCCCGGTGGTTGTCTGACGTTCAACTCTTATTGGATCAGTCGCATTTGGTTATGGTTTTCTTCGTTTGGGATGTTAGGTTTTCTGAACTTTTGTGCGGCTTGGGGTAGATGTTTTATCAATGTTGGAATCTTAATTCTCGTATTCTACCTTGTAGTCTATCATGTATTGTATTTTCACTATGTATTCTACTTATGTTTAATAAAATCTTCGGATGACAAAAAACTAACTGTAATGGATTTCAAAAGTTAAACATAGTAAAGTACCTAAACCTATATTACTTTTCATCAACCAGATTGTTTTTTGTTTTGTTGAGAAACTCATCAACCAGATTGTTAGTGATAAAAAACTGTTGATGGAGAGCTACGTGAGAAAGGCAATGCACAAGCATGGAGACGACAAAAAGCTCTACCTCATTGAAAACTTCATTTATAATTTATAGACATTTTTTTTAAAAATGAATGATAAAAAATGTTTAAAATATTTTTTTTTTATCTTATACTAATGAAAATCCACGCGTTGCGCGGAACAGTTATTTAGATAATTTTTAAAATTATATTAATATCACATTTATACTAACATTGATATATTAAATGATGTTTATGATCTATGCTAAAAATTTATTTTTATGCAACTTAATTAAAACGTTATTTTTAAATGTTTAATACGAAAGTGAATCATTATATCAAATTATTTTATTTTTATACTATATTTTCAATTTTGCTCTAAAATTTAGCGTATTCTTCTTGAATCTATTTGTTATAGGCCATGTCCACTATTGTAAAAAAAAGAATGTTGAGTTCACACGTTACTGAAAAGATAAAACTTATATAGAAAAATGTAATAATTTATAGATAAAGATATAGCTACAAATTTTAGTAAAATGTAATAAGATTGTTTACAGAATTTTATTCTTATATTATCTAAATTTATATAGCTTCTACAGTGTTTTAACAAAATGATAGTTTTTTTATACAATCTTATTTTTATTCATGTCTTTATGGGTATTTACGTAAAACACTCTATATAAAAATCAAGAATCAAGATCGTATGTGACATAAAATATTTCTTTTGTTTTTAATCAATTTCTTACATAACTATTTTTTAGTCAATGTGTCAAAATTAGTTTTGCTTGGCCTAAACTTACAAAATCATAGTATCCATTATTGATGTTTAGTACCATGCGTTACAGATAAAAACGTTTACATCTAAGATTTAATTGTAATACAATGCATGCGGTTTATAATCCCAATTTTCTTTTACTCAAAATGTTCCCATAAATTATAAAAAGTTTAC